ATTATTTCTATCATAGTTATCTAATACTTAATTATTTCAATTACATTTATATCGTACTAAATTATATCCTACTTAATCATTTATAACCATAATTATATAATTTCCTTTCTTTTCAATTTTAGGGAAGAAGAGTTGAAATTTTGATATTTAGGCTATTAAGTATTAAACCGTAATTCTGTTCATAATATATTATGCTTAACTTTTTATAACATTTATATTGTGCTTAATTATTTCAATCTCAATTATATCCTACTAAATTATATTCTTAATTCTTGTACTATAATTATTTTTTTTTTCCTTTCACTGTTCGAGAAAAAGGTTTAAAAAATTGGTAGTTAGGCATTTAATAATTTATAAAATTGGAAATTGGAAATGATAATATGATTGAATAATATATATAACTTATCTAGTATATATATAATTTTAAAAAAGTGTACCGTTTTTATTTTCTTTTAAATAAAAATTCCAATAGTTCTGGGACCCATACCATACAGGTCTTGGTCAGACGGGGTCATTTCTCAAACATGTATCTGGTTCATCGTACAAGTCTTACTCGGGCCGTTAAGAGTTATTTCTTACAATAAAGCTATCGGACATTAGGGCTCCTTTGATTCACAATTTTGTGTTTTTTTTGAGAAATTTTTTTTGAAAAAAGTTAATAAAAAAATTAAATTGGGTGGGTATTACGATGTAGGATTTATAAATTGTAAGATACCCCCTATGTTTATTTTTTTACAAAACACCCCTTATAATAAAACATTAAAAGTTAACAAAAATACCCCCAATCCACCCTCAAATACGGACAGTCGGCCACCACCACCGGAGGGTGGCCGAAGTCGCCGTAACAAAAACATTAAAAATATTTAGGGGTATTTAATTGAATTAATAAATTTAAGAGGTTTAAAAAATATTGAATAAAGTTGAATAATATTGTGAGTTTTTTGGTATTTTACTGTTTAACTTTTTTGGGAATACTAAAAGTAGTATTCCCAAAATCCAACCAAACGAAGCCTAGTATTTTTGCACCGAAAATATGTTATGGCCTACGTGTCCTTTCACTCACACTAGTAATTCAGACGCATTATTAAATATTTTTCTAATAAATCGTTGTCCATCAATTATGAACAATCGTTCACTTACATAGACTCCCGTCCATATTATATGGATGAGATCTATTACTACGGATGAATATCCCTATTTAAAGGACGCTCGTCCATAAGTAAAATAGAATAAATTTTTTTATAAAAATTAGGAACAGTCGTTCATCCGTTATGGATAACCATCCCTTTATTTTGGACAGATGTCCGCAAATAAGAGATGTCCATCCTTAACCAAAATATGAAAAAAAAACTTTGGAAATAGCCATCTATAAATTTTAGACGCTCATCCCTTATGTTTAGACACCCATAAGAAATAGACGACCGTACATTATTTTGGTTTTAAAACAAAAGAAAAACTTTGTAAGGCCGTCCTTTAACCGTGGCCGGGCCCGTCCATTATTTTGGTTTTAAAAACAGAAGAAAAACTGTGAACCAAAGAAGCTATTTCACCGTTTCCAGTTCAGCTTGCTTCTTCTTCGCTTTTGATAATTTAACCTCCTTTAGAAGCATTTGCTTCTCATTTGTATCCAATTTAGAACCAAAGAAGCTATTTTACCGTTTCCAGTTCTGTTTGATCAACATACTGTCCTTGCACCAACTTATTCAGGATCGGTGTATATGCAGTGAGTGCGAGAAACCATGCATGCGAGGCTACAAAGTAGTACTTTGGTATCTCAAGCTCATCAGCGATCTTAAAAGATTCAGCTCTGAAGAGGTCAAAAATCATCGCAGTTGGGAGAGATTTCAAAGTAGATATTGCTGCACGTAAAGCTGATTTGCTTTCATGGATCATGATTGCAAGTATGGTGACGAGCACGGTATCAGGGCCTAGGAGGTGCGAGATATCTGGCGGCGGAATTTCGATAAGTTGACAAAGTTTTGGACTCATGGCAGCTTGGATCATCTTTGATTCTGCGACTGATGTTTGAGAAGCAACAAAGATTGTTACTTCAAAGTTGTGAAGGGTGACAAGGCGTTTTCTAGGTTCCAGAACAGGGATGAGGTGCCCCAAACCGAGATTTGATATTAGAACTGCATGTGGCTTTGAGATGGAGGTCTCCATGGCTCAAAGTTTAAGGATTCACTGGAGCTGGAGCTAAATTCTTTACCAAGGAAGGATACAATTATTATGGACCTTCAGCTAAATTTGTGTGGTACATATGTAAGAAAATATTAAATGATAAGAGTCAGGTTTTTGTATTATTCAGAGCTAAACATGAAAAAAGTTAAGAAAATACTATTTAAAATGAGAGACCTTCCTGATTCTTTTCATAAGGACGGCAGTTCGTCCACACTCGATGGACTGCCGTCCTTATGAAAAGAATCAGGAAGGTCTCTCAGTTTCCTTCAATCTTTCATTCAACTCCGAAATAGCTTCATCTTTCTGTTTCTCAAACACCCTCAATTCATTAATAAGAGCTCCAATATGTTGCTGGAGCTTCTTCCTCTCATTAAAAGAATCAGGAAGGTCTCGAAACAGGAAAAGAAAATCACTTGAAAATCTTCTTGATTCCAACTCACGTAGGAAGAAGAAGGACGTTACAAAGAGACGGTCTGGCTTTGGTTTTAGAAGTCAAAACTCTCACTAAGATAATCTCTTACTTGTTCTTGCTTCTGAGCAGAATCCACTTTTCATAATACATGGGATTGACTAAAGATAAGGTTTTGAAATTGGTGGATCTTTCACGTGTCTCTGGATCGCAGAAGAATTGAGAGAAGCTGCAAAGCAAGAAGCTCAAGGTCATTCTATTGAGATTTGGAAGCACAAACTGCTTTTATTGAACTTGTGTCGAACCAACGGCAACTTGAAGCATAATTGGGCCGAGCACTTAGGCAAGTTGAAGCTGCGAAACAAGAGCTTGGTTCAGTCTTGGTGCTGAAGGACGATCTTGTTGGCTCAAAAACTATCAATGGAAATTCTAAAGATGCGCAAGGATTTGGACCAGAAAGATAAGGTTTTGTCAGCAATGCTGAGGAAATCTAAAGTGGATACAAATGAGAAGCAAATGCTTCTAAAGGAGGTTAAATTATCAAAAGCAAAGAAGAAGCAAGCCGAACTGGAAATGGTAAAATAGCTTCTTTGGTTCACAGTTTTTCTTCTGTTTTTAAAACCAAAATAATAGACGGGCGTCCTTTCATTTAGGACGCCCGTCCACAATATATGGACGGTGATCCAAAGTTTTTCTTTTGTTTTAAAACCAAAATAATGGATGAGTGCCCATTCCTTACGGACGTCTGCCCAAACGTAAGGGATTACCGTCCAAAATTTATGGACAGCTGTCCCCAAAGATTTTTTTTTTTTTTTTATTTTCATATTTTGGTTAAGGACGGGCGTCCCTTATTTGCAGGCCCCTGTCCAAAATGAAGAGACGATCGTCCATAACGGATGAACGACTGTCCCTAATTTTTATAAAAAAAATTTATACCATTTTACTTATGGACGGGCATCCTTTAAATGGGGACGCCCGTCCGTAGTAAATGGACCCCCGTCCATATAATATGGATGGAAGTCCATGTAAGTGAACAACCGTCTATAATTGATGGACGATGGTTCATTAGAAAAATATTTAATAACGCGTCTAGATTGCTGGTGTGAGTCAGGGGACACGTAGGTCGGTACACATTTTCGGTGCAAAAATGCCGGTGTCCATAGCTTTATTGTATTTCTTAAGTATGTATTGGATTTTGAATTTTAATATACCAATCCAGATCCGAGTGTAAGGGGGTGTTTGTCTAAGCTTATAAGCTAGTCAAACTAGCTTAAAAGCTCTAAAATTAAGCTGACCTGTTTGTTTATAACTTTTTTGAGCTTATAAGTTGAGCTTATAAGCCAAAAAAAATAAGTTGGGGGGAGGTACATTTTTTCTTTTTTTTTGCTTATAAGCTAGTTTGACCAAGTATATTATCACATTATCCTTGTTTAATTTTAAAATTCCATAGTATACCCTTATTTAACGTAGTACATTTTTTAGTCATTTTATAATAAAATGTACTTATAAGCCACATTTTATCAAACACATCAATTACTTATCAGTCACTTATAAGTATTTTAACCAAATACGTAATTGTTTAAAATTTCAAATGCTTATAAGCTAAAATTAGCTTGTACTTATAAGCTAATTTTTATAAGCTAAGACAAACACCTCTTAAATCCACATAGATCTACGGACTATGAGACTCAGATTTTTGCTAAGTCTAAAAATAATAAAATAAACAAAATTTCTAAAATAACAAGTTGATGAATGACCAAAATTCAACTCTAAACCAAGGGCCAGGCCGTGCCTCAACTCAATTGTCAATTCTATTGCCTTGGCATTTCAACGTAGGCAAATACTTGTTCTCCCTCCAAGTTCAACCTTTGGCAATCCCGAAGGGCCGAATCAAAACGACAGCCCATGGTATTTATTCTAAGTAGTGGACCAACCTTTACATAGGCGCTCACGGTCTCAGTTTCCTTTCCTTTTTACTTTTTATTTTTTTCATTTTCGTGGGGCGGAGACACTTTCCGCTTTGGCAATCGAACAAACAACCACCCCTTCTCCACGTTGAAAGTTGAAACTGCACCAAACTACACACCCCAAAGCACGTGTTTTTTTATTTTATTTTAAAAATCCCCCACCCCCCACCTCACTCTGTTAACGCTTCACACTTACTCGCTCCTCTGAATCAACCACACATTCACCTTCCTGTCACGCGCTACACATGCGCTTGGTTTTAACCTACCCCTTCCCCACGAAACTCACACTCCAAACCTCGGCGCCGCATGGTTGTTGATGTGTCGCGAGCCGTTAGATTTCCTCCCTGCTTGCCACGTGTACTTTAAAAAATCTGATTTCGAAAAATTGAAAATTGAAAAAATCATAATACGGTACTAATTAAAATTAAAAATTGTATCAGCCGAGTGGGAAATAAAAGTAGAATATAAGTGCAAGCATATCTTAAGGTCACGCTTTAACATCGAACAAAAACAATCAAAGCCTTCTTCTTCTTCGTCGTCGATTGATTCACGCGAAAGTCTGCGTTTGGTATTCTCTGAAAAGATGCATTCAAGTCACTTGCTTCTGGAAGAGCCGATTCGGATGGCTTCAATCTTGGAGCCATCCAAGGCCGTAAGTGATATGTATCTGGATTCGTTTCTTTTCTGTGATTTTTGTTTTGATTTTCGATCTAATATGAAATTCTGTATTCTTTTCGCAGAGTTTTTTCCCTGCAATGACGAAGATTGTAGGAACACTTGGCCCTAAATCTCGATCTGTTGATGTTATATCCGGTTGCCTCAAAGCAGGAATGTCTGGTACGTTCTGGAGTCCCTTTCTAAGTTTTACAAATCAAAAGATTGTGTTTTTTTTCTTTTTAATGTAGTTTGTTGCGAGTGTTACAGTTACAAGTTGTGACGTATATTGTTATCAGAACTTGTTAAATGTTTCATTATTTTTGGTAGTTTCTGGTGTTTGTTTTTTAGTGAGTGAGGTTTATGGTATTCGCAGTGGCTAGGTTTGATTTTTCGTGGGGTAATCCTGAGTACCATCAAGACACTTTGGAGAATCTGAAGGCTGCTGTCAAGAGCACTAAGAAGCTTTGTGCTGTATGTTTGAGATTATCGAAACAGTGGTTCTTATTGTTAGTCTGTTATGTAAGCAAGTACCGTTGCGAATACGACAATTTGTTGTTTGGGTTTCAGGTTATGCTGGATACTGTGGGTCCGGAGTTGCAGGTTATCAATAAAAGTGAGAAGCCTATTTCACTTAAGGCTGATGCTTCTGTTGTTCTCACTCCTGATCAAGGACAAGAAGCCTCTTCACAATTGTTGCCCATCAATTTCGATGGACTTTCTAAGGTTCCACATTTTTTGTGTTTAATGTTACATTCATATTGTACAATGTTGTGATTTATACTTGCAACATTCTACTTCACATTTATGATATCATATTTATTATGATTTTATATTGAATTTACTCATTAATGCTCCGCATGGCAAGTGCCCTGTTGCTTTCTCAAAGCAGAATGTTTGTTGCAATTTCTTTAAACATGCGGGTTATATTATTGAGAAAACGTATGTGGATGGATAGCAACGACACGGAACTTTGAAACTGTCTGTTTTTTTGACTTTGTTGATGGATTTTCTAGTTGCATGCTCTGTTTATGTGCCATGAATGGGACAATTAAAATCTTTTACTTGGTTTTTACAGGCAGTTAAGAAGGGAGACACCATTTTCATCGGTCAATACTTGTTCACTGGAAGAGAGACTACCTCTGTATGGCTGGAGGTAAGAAAAATAGAACCCAGATGGCTATGGACCTTGGAGTAGGCCTTTTTTGTTTCAATTTAAAAGTTCTCTTTGGAATTCAGTATGTCGTATTGAGTCAACTTTTACTGGTGAAAGTTTTTCTACAATAATTTTCGGAAAACTTGTGATTGCTTATGTTGACTCATAAGTTTCAATTTGTGTTGAGCAGGTTTCTGAAGTGAAAGGGGATGATGTAGTTTGTGTGATAAAGAACACTGCAACTTTGGCTGGTTCATTATTAACTTTGCATGCCTCTCAAATTATTATTGAATTGCCAACCCTCTCTGATAAAGACAAGGAGGTAAATCCTGGTTTCTGTTTATAAGATCTAGTGGTTGATGTAATATGCTTAGGGAATTTTCTCTCTTGAGTATAATGTTTGGCTTGCTGCACAAGCTTGTTAATTTGGTGCTTCTCCTTATGGTTCAGGTTATTAGTTCTTGGGGAGTTCAAAACAAAATTGACTTCCTCTCCTTGTCATATACCCGCCATGCTGAAGATGTGCGCCAGGTAATCTGTTTAAACTGTTCTGCTATTATATTATTTATTTATTTCTAAAATTGATGAGTTTGCTGCATTTTTCTTATTTCTACTTTCTTTATCTGAATGATTTTTAATTCTTTATGTTCTTATGCAGGCTAGGGAGTATCTTTCAAAGTTGGGTGATCTCTATCAAACTCAAATTTTTGCAAAGATTGAAAATATAGAGGTTTGTGGGGCATACTGTTTGATTATAAGATTGACTTAGTTTTCTGGATGACTTATGATTAGCTACTTTAGTTCAGTTTAGTTTGAGTTATGTTTCTGTATTTATGTTGTCATTTCTAGGGTTTGACTCATTTTGATGAGATCCTTCAAGAAGCAGATGGTATTATTCTTTCCCGTGGAAATTTGGGTATAGATCTCCCACCCGAGAAGGTCCATTTCTTATCTTGACTGAAAAATGAAGTGTTAAGTCTTAAACTTCCTATATGGTGGTTTCCAAGGTGTATTAGTAAATTTGCTTTAAGATCCCCCGAAGTTGCATTTATCCGGAGGGTCGATCATTTCATTTAGATTCTAAGCACTGTAGATAGAAATCAAATCTATTTAGAGTGGGAAACAAAAATGCCCTAATTTTTTTTCTTTTATTATTTTTGAAGTACTCATTAGACATCCATTTAGATTGTCCTGTAGTGAAGAGGGGTTTTGAAATTGGTCATTCTAATAGCAAGACATCTAAAAGTTTTGTGGACATGAATTATAAACAAGTGAGAGATGGTCTTTTGCAAGTCATATCTTGTGTGTCTGGTAGATCTCACTGGCAACAGATCTCTGTGTACTTTGTAGGTGTTCTTATTTCAAAAAGCTGCCCTTTACAAGTGTAACATGGCTGGAAAGCCTGCAGTTGTTACTCGTGTTGTGGACAGTATGACTGACAACCTAAGGCCTACTCGTGCAGAAGCCACTGATGTTGCAAATGCAGTATTGGACGGTGCGTTGGTATCTTTTAACTCAATCTTGTTACTTTAAAATCTTTTAAAATTTTGTAACTCCATTACATTCATATCAAATATTATGGATACTCTTCAATTTTATTGTTGATTTGGTATTCAATGTATCTGATTTTCTGCCAAACTGTTTACAAGAACAATGCAGGAAATCAGTACCTTATTCTAAGTCCTATTTTTTTTATACATGCAGGGAGTGATGCAATTCTTCTTGGTGCTGAGACTCTACGTGGCTTGTATCCGGTTGAAACCATTTCAATTGTTGGTAAAATTTGTGCTGAGGTAAATAATCATAACTCAGGATGGAAACTCCTAAGATAAAATTTCAATTATGAACTTGTGATTGCCTCTTAATAAATTGAATGCTTGACTTTAACATCTGGAATGTGCTTGGTATGAGTGGTTCTATAGTCATGATGAGCTGGTAAATCTTTTGTACATTTTCTTGTTTGGTTGGCTGATGTACATTTTTGCATGGTAGAGATGGAAGTGTTCTTCAAACAATTGGTTTATTTGTTCCTGAAATTATACCCCATAGATGCTTTATGATCATACTAAACATTTTTTATATTTTTCTTTCTCCAATGAGCACATGAATAACCTTTGCCTTGTTTCCAATATTAGATCTCTCTTGTATGGAGTCCTTCCTTTATGCGGCAAATCAACAGCCTTTGCCTTGTTTTCAATGAAAGAGAGAGATAGAGAGAACCACTTGGTTTACAGTAATTTTATGCTCTTCCGTTTACATCATACAACTTTTAGACTGACCTGTTGGACTCTGTTCACCAGATCAACATGGAAACAATTTCAGTTATTGCACTTCAAGGAATCAATCCAATATGTGATGCTGTTGATGTCATAACCATAAGTGCTGTGAATCGTTTATTGTTTCCATCTGTAAAACTGTGTAAAATTCTTGAAATTTTTTGTGTGGATGCTTCATGCTTATATTTCAATTTTCGCACTTCAAGGAATCAAACCAATAAATGATGCTGCTGATGCCATAACCATAGGAGCTGTGAATCGTTTATTGTTTCTATCTGTAAACTGTAGGTAATTTATTATATTTTGTGTGGATACTTCATGCTTATATTTGTATCTCCTATGCTGCAGCATTTACGTTGATTTACTTTGCTGGGCTTGACATAAAAATACACACTAATATTACATATGTGGTGGAATTTGTAGTATAAATAGTAGAATTTATCTTTCTGTTTTCCTTTGTGTGTTCCATGTAATGTTTGACCTTTTCTTATAATGCATACAGGCAGAGAAGGTTTTCAATCAAGACCTATATTTTAAGAAGACTGTCAAATATGTTGGAGAGCCAATGACGCACTTAGAATCTATTGCTTCCTCAGCGGTATTCACTCTTTGGCTGTTCTTTAAGTATATGCTTTAATTTTTTATATTTTATGTTTCTATGACTCCAATCCCGGTTGAGAATTGAAGTAGTTGGATATTTCAAAATGTGTTCTTATAGGTCAATTTTTCTGTAGGTAAGGGCAGCCATTAAGGTCAAGGCATCTGTTATTATATGCTTCACTTCGTTAGGAAGAGCTGCAAGGTACTCTTTTTCAATATGCAGGCTGAGGTTCAGGGCCATCAAATGCTTGATTGATTCTATAATTATTTATTTATTTATTTATTATTATTATATATATTTTTTTTGCGGCTTTTCATATTTTTTTCTGCAATGTTCGTAATACATTAAACATGTAATGCAGGTTGATTGCCAAGTATAGGCCAACAATGCCAGTTCTATCAGTTGTAATTCCCAGGCTTAAAACAAATCAACTAAAATGGAGCTTTAGTGGAGCGTTTGAGGTATTTCCTTTATAGTTCATTCAATGCATGACCTTCATTTATTAGTTCTACAGTTCAGAGAAGAACTTTTTGTTTCACCTATAATCCTTTTGATTTATTTGAATAATTGGTTTTCCTATGGAGATTTTGATACAGTAAGGAATCTCTTCCAATTATTGCAGTGTCCTATATCAAATTTTTTCAAAAATATGTTTTTCTTAACTTGCATTTAGAGGTAATATAACCGTTCAAGGCTTGGTGGATGGACTTGATATCTGATAACCTGTGTGACTTCTATGTCAATATTTGAATGTGTAATTTGCTGATAGAATCTGTTTCAAATTTTTAGAGCTTAAAGAGTTAATGAATCTTTGTTGTTATTGCCATTTTACCTTCTATCATATTGTCAGATCAAATGCTCCGTTTATCCTGTAATCTTCCGTAATATATGTTGGGAAAGTCATTTTACATTAAGATTTCTAGGTTCACTAAATTGAGGATTCTTAACTGTTAATCTTTCATGTACATTATTTGAGGTTTACTTATTGATTTTCCTGGAAACTATTGTTCTATTGAAGGAGGTGTTATTTATTCATCTTTTCCTTTTATTATTTTATGGTAGAACTTTCGTGGTCTATTAGTCTCTTAGTATTCAAGCTGATATATGCTTATAGTTTACCCTTAACTTTCAGGCAAGACAATCTCTCATTGTGAGAGGCCTCTTCCCCATGCTTGCTGATCCACGACATCCAGTAAGTTCTGTTTCTTTTATCCTTTGTTTTTCAAGCTGTATTCTTTGTTAAATTATAACTCGTCGGGGTTCAAAGTTATTAATTGGATTCTGTTATTTCTTTCTTCAATTTCATTTTTTTATTTTAAGTGGCAGGCTTTGATATTCCTGTATATTTCTATTTCTTGAAAAAATTCCTTTATATAGTGTTTTTCTTGAAATCTGATATCATATAAATAATGGACATTGCAGGCTGAGTCTACAAGTGCAACAAATGAGTCTGTCTTAAAGGTTGCCCTTGACCACGGAAAGGCTTCAGGAGTTATAAAATCGCATGACCGAGTTGTTGTTTGCCAAAAAGTTGGGGATGCATCTGTTGTTAAGATTATCGAACTTGAAGATTAAAATATGCGTTGTACCCTCATAACGTGGTATTTTTGTTTCTCCAAATTTTTTGAAAGCGATGGTGGTAGACTATGTTGGTAGCACCTGTGAGGTATATCTCCAGGTTTGGAGTCAAGTTTATGATGGAAATGTATTGAGAAAATACACTGGTGATTATCAAACTTTGTTCGCTGTGATAGTTGCGGAAGATTTCTCCGCAACTCCCAATTTTAGGTTCAAATATTGGAAGTGATATTTGCAAAATGATTCCATAAGTTTGTTTTGTTGGTATTTATACCAAAGCACATGGTTTTCATGTGGGATAATTAGTTGATTTACTCTATTGCAAAGCTCAACTTCATCCTTAATCCCCTCGCAGGACTTGAAAAATTATGTTCGGTTGGTTATGTTCTTATATTGTTCAGAAGGTGAAGAATGTCATTTCATTTAATTACTTTGTACACTTTTGAAGTCTTAGATCTTTTGAATGTAATTGTCAATGTTTTAATAATCGACCCGGGCTGAAATCTGGTAAAGTTGTCGGGTCTTGGGTTGACCGGTTTGATCAGTTGATAAAACCTTTAAAATTTAACAAATACACTCTTAAAAATTTGTTAAGTTCTATAGGTTTGGAATTTAGCAAACACACCCCAAATACAAATCGATCGACGACTAACGACACTTCAAATGCAATCCTAATAATCCTTTAATCCATTCCTTAGAAAATTTACCCAAGATTGGGTTGAATTCAGTTCGATTTTAATCAAGTCTCATAGACATCGGCGTTGATATTCTAGGCTAGATCTCATCGACGTCGAAGTCGACAACCCTCCCCGTCACCCCAAAAGGCCAAAAATACTCCTTTCTTCCTCTCGACCAAAACCCACCTTATCCCACATTCGTTAGCCTCGCTAATCGTCGGCAAAAGCCAGTTGTTGTCACTTTTTTTTTTTTATTTCTGGTTGATTCACTCATTGGAAATCAATTCCATTGCCACCATTGCACTCATTGACACTTTCTCTTCAAAAGTTCCAACATCTCAGCTTTCAATTGTTCATCGATCATCATCCCAAATTTTAGAGTTTTAAGTGAATAGAGAAATTGTTAACCTGACCTAGTGAAGCTCTCAGGTCCTAGTTAAACCGGCCGGGCTGGGTCGGGTTTTAAAATGGTGGTAATTGTGGAGACAAAATAGTTCACCAGTTTGCTCAAAGCATGATTTGTTAACTACGCATATTTTCTTGTTGCCTGTACCTCTGATGTAATAGGATTAGCAATTATTTCTTAGTTTAAAAGCATCATATTGACGATAAATGACATTTATTTAAAATTAAATTTAAAGTATAGATATGATAGTATTCTTCCTATTAATTGTGACCTCATGTCTGATGATAATGACCTAAGAGGCAGTGAAATATCAATTACTTCTTGTAATTTTAGTGGAGCTATTTAGTAATAACTCAGGAAGGATAAAGTAAACAGAGTAAATAACAAGGACCAAAGTGAAAAATTGAGAGATGTGACTGATATAGCATAAACTCTCGAATATTTGGATTTGCTTTCACTTTCAATTAATAACTATCCTTACTCAAGAAAAACCCTATAGGTAAAAACCTAGTAAAGAAATACAATTGTAACATGAAGTTGAACGTGCTTCATACTGTCTCATCAAAAATCTTGTTAGGAAAACCCAGTGGGACAAAACCTGATAAAGGAAAAAAGAGTACAGTGCACATATGTCCAGTACAATTTACTTGTCTAAAAACTCCTTCTAATCGTTGCTCTTCTTGATCAATGCTCCCCCTCATAATGGTAGAATTAATTTTGTAACTTATTGAGCCATCGCATACTATTGCTATACACTAACTTTTCAAATGTTGATGTCGGTAAAGCCTTAGTGAATAAATCTACAAGATTATCACTGGAGCGTATTTGTTTGACATCAATCTTACGACTTTGCTAGAGTTCTTGAGTGTAAATTTTTTTTGGTGAAATATGCTTGGTTCTGTCTTGTTAGCCATACACATTCTCAACTGGCTTCATGAAGCGCAAAAATCTTAGAGTGGTTGGAGGAAGTAGCAACCAATGTCTGTTTTATAGAGTTGTAACGCCCACATGGAGGTACGTAATTTAATTTATGTTCTTATTCCTTTAGTTGATTTTTGCTAAGGTTATTTTAAGGAAAATGTGAAGAAAATGCCTTAAACTTGCATTAAGGGTAAAATGGTCTTTTCACTCAAAATTAGTTGAAATTGTGGGGAGTGAAAAGAGATAGAATTTCATGGAGAATGCAATAAAAATGAGGGCATTATGAAAATTGACTAAAGGACATAGATAGAATTTTAAAGAAAGTGCAAGGGCAAAATGTGAAACTATATATAATTTTTATGTTATATCAAATTGAAGAGTGAAACCCTAGCCACTCTTACCCATATGCACGCCACTTTCACCTCCATATTCTCTCAAATTCTTCAATTCTTCTTCAAAGGAAATTCAAAGGTTTTGGGTGTTTTTGAGTGGATTTTCAATCTTAAGCTTCTATAGGTAAGATCCTTGCACTAAGAAGTGAATTTTAGTTTTTAAAGTGTTGATTTTAATGGTTTATGCTCATAGGATTTAAGATGAAGAGAGTTTGATCAAAGGAGATTCTTCAAGGGTTGAATTTGCGCATATCAAAGGTAAGTAAATCCTACCTTAAGTGTGATTTAAGTTATGTTGTATAGAGAATTTTCTTTGTGCATATATATATGTGTTATATGTGGAATTGTTGATGGATTTGGTATTGAATAATAATTAGAACCTATCCATGAGAAGTTGGGTTGGTGTATGTGATACTTGATGAATGTTTGGTTGAGATTTGGAAGAGTTGAAGTGAAAATTTTGAAGTGTGTATTTTGGGCAGATTTGGAGTTAATTATGGAGGAGTTTATTCCAAATTTTTGGTGGTCTAAAATAGAGATAGAAGTGTAGCCAAATTAGTGTTGATTTATGCAGATGAATTGTTTGATGAAATGCCAAGGAGAAGTGCATGTATGAGTATGATTATGTGTTACCTTGGGATGTGTTTGTAGATGGTAGAGAATGACATGTTTGCATTCCATAATGCATAATTGCATTTAAATATGTAAATTTAGAAAGAATTATAAGCATGAAACCATCTACATGCATATATATATTCATAAGAGCATGAAAAAGCCCTAAAATATGTTAAAGAGAAAATAGAAATAAATGAGAATATTAAAGGTATTCAAATCTGAAATTTTACCTAAAGAAGTGTAAAAAGATAAAAAGAAGAGAAGGTTGTTGCGATGGGGATCCCGTGAGTGACATAGTCCCACATGCACGCCGCCTTTAGTGAGCGGCCTCAGAATTCAGAAAAAAAGAATTGTACAGTCCGTTAGAAGTGCATGTGGATGAGGATTGTACCCAGAATTAGAGAATTCACTCACACGGCCAAGGCTCCAAATCCATGCCTCAACCGAGTCCGATCGGCAAGAATAGAAAGAAATAATAGAAAAGAAAGAAAGAATAGAAAAGAAAGAAAGAATAGAAAAGAAAGAAAGGATAGAAAGAAAGACTGGAAAAGAAAGAAAGAAATAAAGAAAAAGAAACAGAAAAACAGAATAAGAAAAATAGAAAAGAAAATGCATAATTTATGCATTTGTGCATTTGCATCATGAATATGCATAATACCATGCTCATTATCATGGGTAGTGAAAAATTTAGAAAACAGAGAGAAAAACAGAGAAAGAATAGAGAAAGAACAAAGAGAAGAACAGAGAAAGAATAGAGAAAGAACAGAGAGAAGAACAGGGAAAGAATAGAGAATAATCGGGAAATGTGATGTAAGGAAAGAAAATTCGGAATTTTTAGCAACGGAGAGAGAAGGGTAGCATAGCGGGTTTACTTACTTAGCAATTAGTGCTCACTCCGTTGTTTTTAATGTTTTTGCAGGTAATAGGTGAGTTGCGGTCGCACGAAACATCACGCAGTGGACGGGTTGGGCTACACTGTCACGTTGCTATTTTGAGTATATTTGTATATAAAGAAAAATTAAATATGGGCCCATACTTTGTTACTCATATATGTGTATTTTCTTATATATGTTGTTAATGAGTTTTATTAATTATTTTACGAGTATACTAGCTAGAAAGAAAGCATTACAAGAGCGCCATGATATTGTAGTACCATTATGAGTGAAAATATATCCCATCTGTGAGTGAGCTTTGTGAGGATTAGAAAGGTATCCAACATTTGTATAGCCAACTAATTTAGGATCATTAACAGATTTCATTGGATAAAACAATCCCAAACTTTTGTTTCACTGAGGTAACAAAAGACTTGTTTGTAGGGCTGCAAACGAACCGAACAGTTCGCGAACAATTCGATGTTCGTTTGATAACTGTTCGACACTGTTCGCGAATAAACTGTTCACGAACAGTTTGATGTTCGTTCGATAATATGTTTGATCAAGTTCGAACATGGGCTGTTTGTTCGATTATGTTCGCGACCAATCTGTTCGATTGTTCGTTCGTTTATGTTCGAAAAACATGGTATGCATTATTATAATTTATATATTTTTTTTTCTTTTTTATATTATATTTGATTTAGTTTGGATGAATTTTTTTTTTATGGTAATCAATAATAAAATATTATGATACTTTTGTTTTTCTTATATATATATAATATGTTTGGATTTTAATTTTCCAAATGTCATCAATAATTAAATATATAAGTATACAACATTTTAATTAAAAACTAATAAATTATTATGATACATAGCATGACAAATTTAGTAATATAATAGATTGTATAATCAAGTGATATATAATATAGTAAATCCAATAACATAATTGCTTCATATTTTTTCAAATGTAATCAATAATTAAATATTATAAGATAGCATTTCAATTAATAAATAATAAATATAATATGGTAAATTGATGAACATAACATATTGTATAATCAAGTGATGTATAGCATAACAAATTTAATAATATAATAGTTTAGTTAAATATAGTATGGTAAATTGATGAGCATAACATATTGTATAATTAAGTGATGTATAACATGACAAATTTAATAATTTAATAGTTTAATTAAATATAATATGACAAATTTATGAACATAACATATTGTATAATCAAGTGATATATATCATGACAAATTTAATAACATAATAGCTTAATTAAATCTAAATTAATCACACACTTGTATTGATCATATATTACAATAAACTCTCGTACCACTATGAATTTATAGGTGTTGATACAAAATATATATGTAGACAGTTATTCGAACGAGTTGTTGTATATTTTTTATTCGAATAGGTATTTACAAGTTATTGAACGAGTTATTCGAACATGTATTTACAAGTTATTGAACGAGTTATTCGAACAGGTATTTACAAGTTATTGAACGAGTTATTCGAACAAGTATTTACGAGTTAGTCGAACGAACACGAACAGACCTTTTGTTAATCAAACGAACACGAACAGTCATCCTATGTTCATTCGAGTTCGAACACGAAATTGAACAATCGAGCATGCTTATCGAATGAGTTTCGAACGGGGCTGTTCGTTCGTGTTCGGTTTGATTACAGGCTTACTTGTTTGATCCCATTCCAATGTCGGCGAGTTGGTGCAGAGCTAAATCTTGCCAACAGATTCACTGCAAATGCTATGTCGGGTCTTGTAAATTGTGTCAAATATAATAATACACCTACTGCATTTAGATACGGTACTGCAGGACCAAGTACTTTTCATCATCTTCTTTAGGATGAAATGGATCATTTTTAGGAACAAGAGATCGAACAACCATTGGGGTACTCAAGGGGTGAGATTTATCTATATTAAATTGCTTTAAGATCTTTTCAGTATAATTTAATTGATGGAGCAAACTCCATTTGAACAATGCTTGATCTGCAGACCGAGGCAATACTTTGTTTTCCCAAGATCTTTCATTTCAAATTCTCTTTTTAAGTACTCAACAACTTTTGTGACCTCTTTAGGAGTCTGCAAGAAACCTTGAGCCACTAGTTTGACCTTATACCTAGAAATCTTATTTTTCTCATTTCGTTTCTATGTGAATACCTACTTGTATCCTACGGGTTTCACATTTTCAGACATTTGGATTATATGTTCAAATACATTACGTTTTGCTAAGGAAGTTAATTCTGCTTGAATTGTCTCTTCCCATTTTGGCCGATCATGTCTTTGTCGACATTCATCAATAGAACGTGGCTCAAACTCATCATTCATAATTTTAGTAGCTACTGCGCATTGGAATATGTTATCGACAATAGTTGTCTCACGATTCCAGCTTTCTCTAGAGTGGGCATAGTTTTTAGAAATTTCTTCATTTCTATGTTCTTGTATTCCTTTAGAGATTTCTTCTTCTTTAGGGACTATTAACTCTTTTGGAGTTAGTTTAGAAAATGTGGAATTGTCAATTATTCCAGTATTGTCAATGTTGGCACCTATTTGATTATGTGCCTTTCATTTCCTAGGAATAGTATCCTTGGCTCCAACAGGCCTACCACGCTTCTGGTGTGTAACAGATGAATTGATCGCTGCCCGCATGGATTATTCATTAGTAACATCAATCCTTGCTGGCGTATTGACAACATGAATGTATGATCTCTTTACTTTTGCTACATCTGTAAATGCATCAGGCATTTGGTTAGCAATATTTTGCAAATGTGTTATTCTTTGCACTTCAATTTCAGATTGAGATGTGTGAAGATCTAAATGAGGCATATAATTCCCTTTCCAGGAAAGTTTAGGCCTTACTTCAGGAGGCTTTACTTTTTTCTCTAAAGATGGAAATGTTGTCTTGTCAAGATGGCAATCCGCAAAATGTGGGTAAACAAATCGCCCGTCAGGGGCTCAAGATATCTGATGATAAATGGTGAGTCATAGCCAACATATATTCCCAAACGAAGTTGGGGTCCCATTTTGATGCGTTGAGGGGGTGCAATTAGAATTTACACAACATAACCAGAAGTTCTTAAATGGGATATATTAGGCTGATGTCCAAATACAAGCTGTATTGGAGAGTATTGATGATATGCAATAGGTTTAGATCAATTAACGCCGCAGCATGTAAAACAACATTAGCTCATGCAGAAGTCGGTAATTGCGTACGTAATAGTAAAGTTCTTGCAATTAATTGGATATGCTTTATAAATAACTCTGCCATACCATTCTGGGTATGTACATGTGGTACTGGGTGCTCAACATTAATTCCCATTGTTATACAATAATCATCAAATGTCTGAGGTAAACTCACCAACATTCTCTAGACAGATTGCTTTAATTGGGTAATCTGGAAAGTGTGCCCGTAATTTGATAATTTGTGCCAATAATCTAACAAAGGCAACATTACGGGTAAATAGTAGACAAACATGTTTCAACCCAATGCCGAAGCATCAATCAGTACTATAAAGTAGCAGAAATGTCCACTTGGTGGATGAATAGGTCTACATATGTCCCCTTGAATTCTTTGTAAAAATGATGGGGATTCTACGCCAACTTTAGTGATGGATGGCTTAAGTGCCAATTTGCCTTGTGAGCAAGCAATACAAGCACTCTCATCAGGTGATAGAATCATCAGGTTCTTTAATAGATGCCCATGTGAGTTTTCTATGATCCTACGCATCATAGTAGATCCTGGGTGACTAAGACGATCGTGCCAAATTTTAAAAAGTTCAGGATCAGTGAACTTCTGGTTTATAACTGCATAGACTTCAACATTCTTAAAAAAATGTGTAATATAACCCTTATGAGAAAGCAGGGAGTTTCTCTAGTATATGCTTCTAGCATGAAATATTAGCAGTGATGCATAGAAACTCTCTATCCTTTTCACTTAAAGTTTCAATGTGGTATCCATTAAGTCGTATATCTTTGAAACTAAGCAAATTTCTTCTGGATTTGCTAGAATATAAAGCATCATTGATACTTAATTTAATTCTGCTTGGTAACACAAGTTTTTTTCTTCCGAAGCCCTTAATAATGTTTGTAGATACTGATATGGTATTTATTTTAGTCTTAGTAAAGGTCAAACCTGAGAAATATTTTATATCCCAAAAGATGGTATGCGTTGTTGCATAATCTACTATACAAATGTCTCCACCATTACTGAATATCGATGTCTCAGTTCGAAGTCCATCCTTAAAAAAAAAAATTTACATTAGTAATGATGTTTATAGAACTTCATCTTCATGATATGGAACTTCAGGTCTAATATTTGTCTCTGTTTTACAAACTTCATGTTTGTAATTGGTATTTAGAACTTCAAGTTCTAAAACGATATTTATTTATGGAATTTCAAGTTCGTTTATCAAATATAATATGGAAGTATAATTGTTAACATTAGTTATCGAAAATATAATAAAAAAATATCTAACCATAAAGATTATATGTAACAAGAATAAATAGATTTGACCATGAAGACAGTATTCAACAATAATAGTAAATAGGTTTGACCATGAAGACGGTATATAACAATAATAAATAATCCAGCCATGAAGGCGATATTTGACGATAATAAATAAATCCAACCATGAAAGAATAATAATAAATAGATCCAGCCATAAAGACAGAATTTGATAATAATATGTAAATCCAACCATAAAGGCGGAATTAGCAATAATGAGTAGATTCGACCATAAAGACGGAATTTAGCAATAATAAATAAACCAGACTATGGAAGCGAAATTTAACAATAATAAATAAATCCGAACATAGAGGTGGAATTTAACAATAATAAATAAATCTGACAATGGAGGTAGAATTTAACTGTAATAAATAAATCTAGTCATAAAAACGAAAACAAGGATTAAAAAACACTTGTAGGATTGAAAATACGTACTTTCAATAGGCATGCACCGTTATACTTGTTAAGCTCTTCGTGCTGATAACGTGTTGTAATTTTAGTGGTGCTATTTAGTAATAACTCAGGAAGGATAAAGTAAACAGAGTAAATAACTAAGATCAAAGTGAGAGAATGAGAGATTGAGTGATATAAGGATAAACTCTCAAATATTTGAATTTGCTTTCAATTTCAATTGATAATTGAATTAAAGGGAATGGGGGGTAATTAAAATTTTTATCTTTATTAAAATTATTATATACTTTTGAAAAAAAAAATATCTGATTAAAATATTAAAAACATTTTGATAAGGGGCTTCGTGTTCCAAATTGCAATGTTAGTATTTTTTATTTAAAATAGAATAAATATTTAAGCATCTTACATATGACAAAAGATGGGCGCCTGTGGCCTATGGATAAGGCGTCTGACTTCTAATCAGACGATTGTGGGTTCGAGTCCCACCAGGCGTGCCATAACTTTGATATTTCATGTTACTTTTATTTCGCTCCTCGCCTGAAAGTATAAGGTCCAAGATGTATCTCCACCTCTTCTTTGTAAATTGCCTCAAAGATTTCAAAACTTGTCTACTTGACCATTTCCTCGTTTTACTAATGCTAAACCATTATAATGCCCACGTCAAAATAAGTACATGACTTTGGGATTGATTTAATGCTCAATACAACATTTACTCTCTAAAATTTCCTTTCTTAAACACAAAATTTACCTTTACAATCAGCCTTTTCTCTAGCCTAAATGAACACTAAAATATTTATTAGAAAGTGAACGTACTTGATTCATATATAAGTACAAAATTTAATACACAAAGATTTGAGAAAACAAAAAATAAAACCACCATTTTATCTGTTATAACCTATGTAATGTGATCTATATATTGTACACTTTAAGCAGTAATGGAAGATGGGTCACTCCTCTTGTTTGATGAGTGTTGTTGTTGATGATGATGATGGTGATCAAGCAACTCAAGCTCCTTCTGCCTAAGAACAAGCACCATTCTGTCGTTCTCAAGCTGCCTTCGCTCGTTGTTAAGCTTTGCTTTCTCCATTTCCCTCTCCTTCTTCGAGCTGAACTTCACCCACTTTAACCTTTGCTTCTCAAGCTCAAAAGCTTGGTATCGATAACTCACTTGCTGCTCCTCCAATTGCAATAACCTCATCTTCATCCACTGCTTCTTCTCCCATGCACTCTTAGCTCCATCTTGAATCACACTCATTACTTCACCATTCAATTGCTGCATTAATGGTGACAAGGTAGCAGAGAAAACGCCTTTTCTTGCCCTTTTTCGAGATGGTTTCTCATCGTTGTCATCATCATCTTCTTGCCCATGCCCATTTTGGCCTCTTGAATTTCCTTCTATCGCTTCATCATCATCATCGTCGTCATCCTCATCATCGGTGTCATCCTCCTCATAATCCTCTTCTTCACTTCCCACTTTTACCATTTTTGATCCTTCCATTCCCATTCTACTCGAATTAGCCCCACCATGGGCATTTTCCGATGAATGCAAGCACCGTTGTTGTGATTGTTGATGCTGGACCTGAGACGGATCCGTTGTTACCTCTGGTGAGTGATTGCCACTAGTAGCTCCATTAGTACCACTAACATGACCACAACTATTATGATACGCACACATTTCCCTGAAAAACAAATGTTTCGAATTAAGTAACTTCTTAACCTCCTCCTTCATTTTCGGCGACAAATCCATAGTATCCAGTAAACTCTGATTCTCCACAACACGGCAAGCAGTTCCCTTACCAAGTATTTCATTAACCCTTTTGTACCTCTTATTCAAGTCATTAAATTTATCCTCACATTGTTGTGGAGACACATAAAACCCTTTCTCCATCATTGCCCTCGAAACTGATTTCCACTTCCCTTTCTTTTGAAGTAAAGCACCCGCCTTTTTCTTATCATTCCCTTCGGATCCGGCTTCATCACCAATATAAAAAACAGCCATTATAAGAAGCCTAACCATGCTATCAGTCCACTTCATTCTCTGCCAAGGAGATGCCTTTCTCTTGCCATCTCCAGCATTGTCATCCGGGGCAAATCCAAGTTCATCTTCATCACTGAGAGGCGAAAGTTGCTGTTTTGGCTTGGGGTTAAACAAGGAAGCATGTTGTTTCGCCAATTGGTGGGATTGGGATTGTGAGTGGTGGTGGTGGTGATCAGTGTCATGCTGGTGAGAATGAGAATAAGCAGCAAGCATTTGAGATTGATTATGTAAATTGTGAGGGTTTTGAGGGTTTTGAATTTGAGGATTTTGAGGGTTTTGTTGAGGGTGTAAAGACATTTCTAGGCCCAACATTCCTGAAGCAATACCAGAAAACAACCCAACATTTAAACCATTTGGTTCCATCAAACTAAAACACAACTAATTCAACAAAAACTTCAGCTTTACCATCAAATTCTAATCATAATAACAATGAAATTCTAAAAAACAATAGGCAGAGATGGAAACAAAACATACCCAAGGAAAGCAACAGGAACAGGAAGAGGAAGATTAAAGCAGAAAATAACTTATTGTGGAAGATTTGAAAGGGAGAAAGAAGTGTTAAAAAGAGTAATAAAGATGGAACAGGTCGGTAGAAAATATATACAAAGAGCGTAGCAGCTGGTTTTGGTTAGGCAGGTTTTAGTTTGGGAAGAAAAAAAACTGCCCATGGTTTTGGTTTTAGTTTTTGGATGTAAACCCACAGGTTTTGTGAAAACAAAGGGACTCCCTTTAATATTTTTATCATTCCTATTTCCTACAGTCACTTTAGACTGCAACCACTTTCTTGAGTGTGGTCAATACTTTATTTTTCTAATAATTTACGCTTACTTATGAATTTATTAACTATTTTAATAATTTTTATAAATATAAAATATAATACAAATATTATAAATATAATACGGATATCATATATAATTTTAACAAAAATGATTAAAAAAGTTAATAAAACATTACTCTTACTTTTTGACTCATTTCTTTTACTGTAATTTAATTTTTTTTTTTAATTATATGATATTTACAATACAAAATTAGGTTATTAGTTCTCGGGGAACACAAAACAAAATTGACTTCCTCTCCTTGTCATACACCCGTCATGCAGAAGATTTGCGCCAGGTAATTTGTCTAAACTTTTCTGCTATTATATTATTTATTTCTAAAATTGATGAATTTGCTGCATTTTTCTTATTTTTAGTGTCGTATTCATATTTTTATTTCTTTATGTTCTTATGTTGGGTGACCTCTATCATACTCAGAGAAAATATAGAGGTTAGTGGGCCATACTGTTTCATTATAAGATTGACCAAGTTTCTTTGGATGATTTATGATTATCTATTGCAGTTCAGTTTGAGTTATGTTTCTGTCTTTATGTTTACATTTCTAGGGTTTGACTCATTTTGATGAGATCCTTCAAGAAGCAGATGGTATTATTCTTTCCCGTGGAAATTTGGGTATAGATCTCCTACCCGAGAAGGTCTGTTTCTTATCTTGACTGAAGAATCACTGCTCAAGTGCGAATTCTTAAACTTCCTATATGATGGTTTCTAAGATGTATTACTACATTTGCTTTAAGATGCCCCAAAGTTGCATTTGTCTAACTCTTCCACCACCATGTTGGATTTTGTAAATTAATATAATTTTCACCCCTTAAACATAGATGATGTCTTAGTATACTTACAAAAATAGCACATGACATCTGAGTTTAACATTTATGTTTGAACTGTCATGAAGAAGTTTCCAAGATCTTATATTTTGCTTTTAGTAGCAAATGCTTCAATGCTAAAAACATTTTAAAAAGCACAGTAATTTTTTGCCATTTATCTAGAGGGCGATCACTTTATTTAGATTCTAAGCACTGCAGATAGAAGTTAAGTCCATTTAGAGGGGAAAAGAAATATGCACTAATTTTTATTTTCTTTTATTATTTTTGAAATACCCATTAGACATCCATTTAGATTGTTCAGTAATGGAGACAGGTTTTGAAATTGTTTATTCTAATTGCAAGACATCTAAAAGTTTTGTGGACATGAATTTTAACAAGGGATGGATGGTGTTTTGCAAGTCATATCTTGTGTGTTTGGTGGATCTCACTGGCAACGGATCTCTGTGTACTTTGCAGGTGTTCTTATTTCAAAAGGCTGCTCTTCGCAAGTCCAACATGGCTGGAAAGCCTGCAGTTGTTACTTGTTGTGTGGACTGTATGACTGACAACCTAAGACCTACCCGTGCAAAAGCCACTGGTGTTGCAAATGCAGTATTGGATGGGACGCTGGTAACTCTTAACTCAAAACTTGTTGCTCTGAACCCTTTAAAATTTTGTGAAATTTACATTTATGTGCAATATATTATGGATACTCTTCAATTTATTTTTGATCTTGTATTCAAGGTATCTGATTCTCTGCCAAACCATTTACAAGAATGACCCATTATTAAGTACCTTATTCTCAGTCCTATTTCTTTATACATGCAGGGATTGATGCAATTCTTCTTGGTGCTGAGGCTGTACGTGACTCTTACCCTGTTGAAACTATCTCAATCATTGGTAAAATTTGTGCTGAGATAAATAATTTGGACATAACTCATATGTTCATTAAGTTGGCAACTTTATTTCAGGGTGGAAGCTGTAAATATGAAATTTGAATTATGAATTTGTTCTGACTCTTAATAAATTGAATGCTTGACTTTGACATCTGGAGTGTGCTTGGTGTAAATGGTTCTATAGTCATGACGAGCTGGTACATCTTTTGTACTGTTTCATGTTTGGTTAATTGACATCCATTTTTGCAAGGTTGAGATGGAAGTGTTCTTCATAGAATTGGTTTATTTGTTCCTGAACTTGTACCCCTTTAGATGCTTTATGATCACACTAAGCATTTTCTATATTTTTTTTCTCCAATGAACACATGAATAACCTTTGCATTGTTTTAAATATTACCACTCTCTTGTATGGAGGCCTTCCTTTATACGACAAATGAACAGCCTATGCCCACTTGGCTTCCAATGATTTTCTGTAACCAACAAAAAATCCATGTGTGCTGTTCCATACTTCCATTTACATCATACAAGTTTTTAGACTTACCTGTTAGACTTTGTTCACCATATCAATATGAAAACAATTTCAAGTATCTCACTTCAAGGAATCAAAACAACATTATGCTGCTGCTGATGCTATAACCATAAATGCTGTGAATCATTTATTGTTTTCATCTATAAAACTGACTTTAGATTATTCATGAAATTTTGTGTGGATACTTCATGCTTATATATATGATTTTCTGTAACCAATAAAAATAGCCATTTCTGTTCTTCTCATCCATACAAGTTTTTAGACTCACCTGTTGACTTTGTTCACCAGATCAATAGGAAACACATTTCAATTATTACACTTCAAGGAATCAAAACAATATTATGAGGCTGCTGATTGCTGACGCTATAACCATAAATGTTGTGTGATGGAACCAACCCAAGTAACTCAGTTACTAATGCATTCAGTCACCATTTTAGGCCCACATCAACCAAGAACAGAAAGAGCATGAATGTCTTGTTTAAAATGGATATTTGGATTGATATTCAGTAGTTCATTCATGAATCAAACAAAAAGGAAAATCTGACTAAAACAGAAAAAAAGAAAGAAGCCAGGCTGATCTTCGAGGGTCACTCCTCCCCACAATTCCCAACAATATTCTCAATGCCTTCCCCCTGTTGGTTCCCCTTTTATTCCTTTATTTGTCATGCTAGCTGTGTTGTTGTTCCACCTGTCAAACAGATTCATCCACGCTGTTGTGCTGCTGCCTTACTTGTTATGCTGCTGCTCCAGCTGTCCTGTATTACTCTCTTCTCTCTTTGCCCCTTACGTTTTACCCCTTGACTATTGGTGGTCCTCATTACCCTCCCAAGGAGTGCCACCTTGTCCTCAAGGTGGAAAGAAGGGAATTGGTGGCATATGGCAGCATAGTCCTCCCATGTATTGTCACAATGGGAAAGTGATTTCCACTTGATTAGGATTTCGTACTCACCATTCAGGAGGCGTCGTTTACGTAGAGCCTGTGAGTTCGACTTGCAAGACCAGGTCACTGGTGAGTACAGTGGAAGGGCTGGGTAGTCATAGGGCAGCGGTGGCTCGTTTCAGTTGCAGCACATGAAAGACATCATGTATCCGGGCTGTGGGGGTAATTTGAGCGATACGCAACCTGACCCACTTTGGCCGTAATGGAAGGGTCCTAGTAACGGGGGCTGAGCTTTTCATTGACTCGCCTTGCGAGGGAGCGAGACGTAAGGCTGAAGTTTCAGGTAGACAGAGTCCCCTACGGAAAATTGAACTTCCCGACGTTTCCATCGCATATTGTTTCATGTGTTCTTGGGCCCTATTAGGTTCAGTTTAATTCTTCTAAGATGGAATTGCGGTCTGTTAGTTGCTGGTCTACGGCATCCACCACAGAAGAGTGCTCACTATATTTTAAAGAATGGGAGGGTCGCGACCATAGAGAGCCTTGAACGGAGTCTTCCTGAAGAGCGGCTGTAAGTGGTGTTAAACCAGTACTCTGCCCAGGCTACCCATTGGGGCCATTGATGCGGTTGATGCCCTGCAAACAGCGGAGGTAAGTTTCGACACAACGGTTGACAACCTCCGTTTGACCATCCGTTTGAGGATGGTAGCGGTACTCATGTGGAGTTAGTTCCTGATTGTTTAAACAATTCCCCCCAGAATAACTCATGAAAATTCGGTCACGGTCGGAGACAATAGTGCGGGGAAAGCCATGTAAACGACAATTTCTGTAAGGAACAGGTTGGCCACTTCTTGAGCTGTGAAAGGGTGACACAAGAAAAAAGTGGCTATACTTCGTAAGGCGATCCACCACAACCAGGATGGTGTCCAGCCTGTGAGCCTTAGGAAGGCCCCCGATAAATCCTGGACACGTCTTCCCAAACCTGAGAGGGATAGTTAGAGGTTGTAGGAGGCCAGCCGGTTGCAGTGCATCATATTTGTTTTGTTGGCAAACTGAGCAGGCCTTACACAAAAGCCTGGATATCCTGTCTCATTCCCTCCCAGTAAACTACTTGCGCTAGCCGCTTGTAAGTACGGAAATAACCAGAATGGCCCCCCGGGGGAAGAGTGAATTCCCGCAAATTTGCTGCACTTGGGACAGGATCTGGCAGCACCAAACGATCATCATAGTAAAGTAGGGAACCCACTACCTGAATTGCAATGGCTGGATAATCGACGATCAGATCTTGATAAATTTTCTGCAGCTTGCTGTCACGTGGATGGCTCTACCCACTCTTCTTTTTTTGCGAAATAACAGATTGAAATGGCTGTACACTCAACCGCCATCACGTCGGGATAAGGCATCTGCAGCTTTTTTTCTAACCCGGGTTTATACTGAATTTCATAGTTTAATCCGAGCAACCTGTATCCATTTTGTTGTTCTTCACCTTGTAACCGCTGCTCATTCAATAGTGGAGGCTTCGCTGATCGGTTCTAATAATGAAACGGCGACCCAACAAGTAGTGGCGCCATTTTTGAACCGCAAGGACCACGGCCATCAATTCTCTCTCATAAACCGAACGAAGCCGCGAGCGAGGGAAAGCCCTTGACTTAGAAGGCCAAGGGTCTGCCTTCCTGCTTAGGACAGCCCCGATACCGTATCCTAAGCGTCTGTCTCAATGACAATGTTTTTGAAAAGTCCGGCATGGCGAGGACTGGAACAGTAGTCATTACCTGTTGCAATTCTTCGAATGCCTTTTGTGCTACCTCAGACCACACAAAGAATCCTTACGGAGCAGATTTGTTAGGGTAAGGAATGGCCCCTAACCGTTGACGATTTCCGATAATATCCTGTCAAACCCGAAATCCACGAGTGCCTTTACATCCTTCGGAACAGGCCATTTTAATATGCAATCTACCTTGGAAGGGTCAACGGCAACTCCTTGCCTGAAATAATGTGGCCTAAGTATCCCAACTTACATTGCCCGAAAGTGCATTTTTTCTTGTTAACCACCAACTGGTGGTCGAGTAGAACCTGAAATGTGAGTCTCAAATGTGGCGAGTGTGCTTCTGAGTTATTACTGTACAACCATATGTCGTCAAAACCAATGAACTTACGTAGTATGTTTTGAAAATGTTGTTCATGAGAGCTTGGAAGGTGGACGGCGCATTCGATATCGAAGGGCATTACTAGAACTCGTAGTGCCCTTCGTGTGTGCGGAAGGCTGTCTTATGAGTATCTTCCTCCCGGACACGAATTTGGTGTATCCCGATTTAAGGTCGAGCTTTGAGAATATCGTGGCCCCGCCTAACTCGTCAAATAACTCGTCCACTGTCGGTATCGGAAACTTATCGGTATGGTGACTTTGTTGAGTGCTCGGTAATCGACGCAGAAACGCCATCCTCCGTCTTTCTTTTTAACCAAAAGTACTGGGCTGGAAAGGGACTGATACTTGGCTTGTATTCCGGAAACAACATTTCCTGTACAATCCGCTCTATCTCATTCTTCTGATAATATGGGTACCGATAGGGTCTGATATTGGGACTGGAGCTGCCTGTTCGAGCCTGATGCGGGATCACAAGTCGTGCCGGTGGCAGTCCCGGTAGCGGTTCAAATAAGACTTGGTATTCCCTCAATAGTGCACCCCAATCACCCTCATCCGTTACTTCTTCATGCTCATGCGCCTGCAAATATTAATTTCCAACAAATAGCCAGGCCCTTCATACTGGATCATTTTTAAATCCTTTTCATGACAACTTGGTTCTGCTCAAGAGGGGTCCCCAATCAACATGATAATTTTTCCAGACTGGTTGAATTTCATTACTGATTTTTTCCATCAGTGGTAATTTCTCCCAGTGTCTCTAACCATGCAACCCCCAAAATCACATCCGCACTATCATATCGAAGGGGTAGAAGTGTTGGCACTACTGAAATACCTTGCAGCTGTAACTTCACCGCGCGCATTCGCCTTGACAGCTTACCCTGTACCCATCACCAACTCTGACTCCAAACTTTTTAGTAGAGGTTATAGGGATTTGAGCTCATCCACTACCTGTCGGTTGATGAAATTGTGAGACGCCCCGCTGTCAATTAAACCCACCACATTTCTTCCCGCAATTTCCCCTTTTACTTCAAGTTTTTTGGCCCACTATACCTTCCACGGAACTGATGGAAAGCTCCATTGTGCCTAACGCATCCTCTTCCCCTTTGAGTTCCTCTACCGATAGCTCATTCACCTCCTCAGGATCTTCATCTTCCAACAATAGAACTTGTACCTGCTTATCCCACATCTATGACCCGGAGAATACTTCGCGTCACAACGATAGCATAAACCCCTCTCCGTTTGCGTTGGATCTCGCTTCCGTCATTCGCTTGAGGAACTCACGTCGGCCTGAATCTGGGCGAAAATTGACTGCCATGGCGAGTTGGTGCTGGAGTGGGTTTCGTTTGGGTTGCGTCGAACAGGTGGTTGTGGGTTTAGTGGGTTGATGAGTGTTGACTTGGGTCAATAGCTTTTTGTTTTTGTAGCTTCCATCATGTCGAGTTGACTGGGCGTAAGACTTTGTGCCAAAAAGAGATGAATTCCACTTAGTTACACGCGCAATCCAAATTTGAATTCCTCCACAGTTTTATTCCTTTCCTCCACACGCTGGGCCAATTGGGCCACATTAATTAGTGAATTGGTTGTTGGATGAGATTGGGCTGTTGGAGTTTGATTTCAGCTTTTACTTCAGGCCTAAGCCCATTCAGAAATGCAGCAGTGAGCACCTCTTCTTTTTCATTTGTCTAAAGCTCAACTTCTTCAATTTTCGGCGATAACCAGAATCGTGCCTGTTTGCTTGTGGCCATCAGCAGCTCCAAGGGACTCACTTCTTGGGTCCCGCTAAACCTTTGGGAGAGAGCTATTTTAAACTCCTGCCAACTACTGACTTAACCTGGTTTCCATCCATTGATACCAATGGAGGGCTTCTCCCTCCATGCATAATGCATGGGCTGCCACCCTATGTTCTTCAGCTATCAAGTTGAAAGTGAAGTAACGTTCCACCTTAAATATCCTCCATACGTCTTCACCGGAAAAGATGGGTAACTCCAACTTTCTCCCTTCCATTCACGATGATGCCATCTTCCCACCCCTTGTTTCCAGTTTCTCCGGATGGGTCACCTTCAAAGTTTTCCCTTCCCGGGCACTCCTTGGTTTCCTATATCTCATGTTCATTGTGCTCAACCCTGCCACGACTTGAGTTTCCGAAATTTCTCCTTCGTTCCTCCTCTTCTTCATCTTTTTTTCGCATCCAATTTTGCATATCGATTAAATCTCCTCATGGTGTTCACCTTTCAGTAACTTTAGCTACATCCTTCTCAACGTTCTCTATTCTATTATCCATCCTTGTTCCACCCATGCCCTGAATCAAGCTTGGCTCTGATACCAATTTGATGGAACCAACCCAAGTAACTCAGTTACTAATGCATTCAACCATTTTAGGCCACAATCAACCAAGAACAGAAAGAGGCAGTGAATGTCTTGTTTAAAATGGATATTTGGATTGATATTCAGTAGTTCATTACAGTGAATCAAACAAAAGGAAAATTACTAAAACAGAAAGAAAGAAGCCAGGCTGATCTTCGAGGGTCAGCTCCTCCCCACAATTCCCAACAATATTCTCAATGCCTTCCCCCTCTGTTGGTTCCCCTTTTATTCCTTTATTTGTCAGCTAGCTTGTTGTTGTTCCACCTGTCAAACAGATTCATTCACGCTTGTTGTGCGGCTGCCTTACTTGTTATGCGCTGCTCTCCAGCTGTCCTGTATTACTCTTCCTTCTTGCCCTCTACGTTATACCACTTGACTATTGGTGGTCCTCATTGTGAATCGTTTATTGTTTTCATCTATAAACTGACTGTAGATTATTCATGAATTTTGTGTGGATATATTTAGGGTGGTTTACTTGTTGGGCTTGACATAAAACTACACAGTAATATTACATATGTTGTGGAATTTGTAGT